GCTCCCTCCCCCTCCCCTTCCTACCCCACCCCACCCACTAAAAAATAATAAAACAAAAAAAAACAAACAAACCCCACAAAAAGCCCCTAGCAAAAATAAAAACAAAACCCCTGCAAAAAATCCCCAGATTTGGGAAATTCCGACAAGGGCCAGTACTCTTGATAAAGAACAAATGTTCTCAACACACAGTTTTATGTTTTGCTTTCGTTTCGGAACCACGGAAGTCATTTTTAAGTTACCTCAATGAAAGATCAGAGCAAAAGAGAACTTTGGGGTCTCAAAAAATGAGGGTCAATTAACAGAGACTGCTGGCAATGGGAACGTTTTTGGGGCATCTGCTGTGCTGGAGAACATCCCTAAAAATATGTGAGATTTTCTTACAAAATGAGTTACGTCTTTCGGATTTTAGCCTAATGGAAATTGATACATCAACTTTATAGGTGGAGTTTATATAATTTGTAAGTAAGGAATAATAAAAGACACGGTAGACTTGAAGAAAATGGCATCAACTGAAAATCTGTAAATCTGACCCCAGCGTCGATTTTTGGCCGATATCTCCATTCTTGGATCGCAAGAGGTAACTCATTTTGTCAGCACAACTCACTTATAATAAAGAAACCATCTTGACAATTATTCTAGGACTCTGCGTGGCGTGCAGTTGTCATCTATGTTTAGTGGGACATAGTTTCGGACGTCGTGATTTTCACCTTTGATAAATTTTGAGGCTGCCAAACCCACTAAATCTTAGTTGTCATACCCAGCTGGATTGACTCTAAAAAGGTAATTTTTTCCGTTAAAAGACACCCTCAGAGCCCACGACCTGACCTTCCTCTAAGCCACTCAACTCGCAGATGGCAACAGACTTCACTTTATTCAACTGCATACTAGCGTTTGCTGATTTAAGTTTCGAAATGACAAGACATTAACAATTTTTTTTTCATAATGAACCAGAACAAAGACAAAGGGGAAAGTTAAGGTGGGGATAGGGGAAATGAGGAAACACAGAGACGTGGAGCGAGACTTCAGCCTCATAATGCATGAAGTCTAATTAAGCTTTGCTTTCATGTTTCGTGAACAATACTTCCTATCTCACTCCGTCAATCAATTCACTTCGCTTTCAATCAATATCGAACTACATCACGAGGTAAAATGTAGATCATTGTGTGTTTGTCGGAATGTGTTTGTGAGTGTGTGCGTGCACTTGTGAGTGTGAGAGTAAATGTGTGTGGGTGTATGTGTGTATGTATTTGTGTGTGTATGTGTGTGTGTGTGTGTGTGTGTGTGT